GTATTTTAACAGATACCTGAATTTACTTTGCAACATCTACACTTAATTGGAGAGCAACGGAAGGGATGCTAGTTTTTAAAAATAATTGGGTGTCGCTTAACCTCAGAGCAATCGTGTGGGCCCCGCAACCCCTTTGACTGCAGTTGGCCTCGAATATTTAGGAGCTTAAAGTTGTGATGTGCACACTTTTTTAATTATCAATTGTGAATGCAAGGTGGGGAGGGAAAAAAAAAAGTGCCAAGAGGCCTCCATAGGACAAGTGACAACTCTGCTTGACCTGCTTGTGTTTTACAAATATTTTTTTTTATCACTAAATAGTATCGTAGCTTTTATTTTTTATTTATTAGAATATTTCGGGCTTAACTACTTAATAAATAAAGTAATTTTAAAAATCCTTCCAAAATAAAATTTTCACTCACAAAATGCATCGTTAATTTCATAACATAAACGATCGCAAACGAAAACAACAATAACCACTTAGGCGTGCTTGTAATAATTACCTTTTCTAAATATTTCCAGGTTTTATCAGTCAAAAAGAAAAAACAAAACTTAATCAGAAAGATCTATATATTTTTATGAGTTTTCAAAATGGCCGCTGTTATAAATCGTTATGAAAGGCATAATTATGTGAAGAAGACATGAGATGTTTACAAAAAATTGTATAATGTGTAATTTAACTGAGGGAAATCCTATACAAATTAAGTATACATTTCTCAATATTCAGTTGATTGAAATGTTTATTTGGAATTTCAAAGTAATATAAGTTTCTTCAGATAAATTACAAATGGCCTCTTCGATATACTTTTAACACACAGTTATTACCAAATCCACATAATTTATATTTAAATTGACGATTTAGGAAGAAATGTTTTGGCATAATAGTGGAAATGCTAGTTTAAATAAAAAGAATAATAATTTTTATTTTTAGCTTTCTAAGCGGTCGTCCATTAATTGTGCCAACATAATAGAGGGGGGGGGGGGGAAGGGGGTTGTGGAAATATTTGACGCTTGTTGACAAAGGGGGGGGGGGATTAGATTAGTTGACGTCAACAATCATGTTTTCTCTATTAAAATTTTAATCTTAAAAATTGTCTGTTTATTGAATTATTTTAACAAATTTAATGAATGTAAATAGTAATAACATTTTTACGCTTCTAATTCTAACAATATAAGATTTATTCAATGTGTGTCTGTCTATGCACTGCTGATGGCTGGTCAGAATGTTAGCACACTTTGTTAGTGCAAGAGAAGTCAAAAGTCGGCTTCTATTCTTTTGTAGATTCTGTTTGTCGCAAATGACTAGGGCGATATGTTTGCAATCATGTTGCGGGTATGGAACAAGGACATGATTCAAGTGTCATGTGCAGTCAAGATGAATGCATTGATATATGGGAATACGATATTTTGAGAATCAGGTGGAAAGTAAAGTGAGTAACAATAATAACACCCCTGCTTGAACGGATTTGTAAAATCTGTAACATCTATTTTCCATCACAAGTCATGTTGAAATAGCATGATGACCAGCACCGAGAATGCCCTCTTGAGCATTAGAAATTAACACCTGATGCTCAACAAAAAAGGGTTCCACTAATGCAAGTAGCTTCCAGATGACTGCTGTAAGGCAATTACTGCTCACACTGAAAATGCTTTTATTGTAAGTGCTGAATGTTTAGATGAGGATGATGTTGACTTGTCTGATATATCAATCAGTTCGGCAATACGAACATGATAAATCAGCTACTATGACCATTGTTACGATAGAGCAACACCTGCTACTCCCTGGGAAGAAGTCAGCAGTTAGAAACTATGCTACAATTGTCAGCTATACTGACAATAATCATATTTATACTTCCACAAACAATGATATTTAGTCTTTAACAACCTTTTAATTGATTTTTCATTGTAAAATTTAAGTGTAAAAACTTTTTAACTTGTTGATTAACCAGCTAAAGATGGAATATATATATATATTTTTTACTACAATTTTGTGTCATTAAAATCGAGTAGCACAAAGTAAAATGTATTTATATATTTATTTTTATTATAATTAATTTTTTGGTGTAGGGTGGGGTATAAAAATGTTGACATAATTACTTGGGGAGTGAGGATCATTGAAAGTTTGACAGCTGTTTACAAGTGGGGGAGGGGTCAAAATGGCTTTAAAATTGTTGACGCAATTAATGGACGTCCCTAATGGATTCTTATCTAAAAGTAAAATACTTATTAAAAATTGCGTGGAAATTATTTATTAATTTGATATTATAAAGAGAAAAACATTTGGGAAGTTAATAAATCCCGGAACTCTTCGGTTTGAAAAATAAATTGTCAACGAAACGGTCGTAGATTCTTCTGTTAATATTTGCAACGTACAAGTACAAACATATTTATAAACCATTAGTTTATCATTAGGCACCAGGGTAATTGTAATACCAAGTTTAATGTATTAAAAAACTGAGATATGATGAATTAGTTCAATTAATAAGGTTTATAGGCCATTATATAAAGTATGATCGGACATAGTTTATAGGATTGCCAGGAGATGAAATAAAGTAAAGTAGATATATTTTTAAAAAATGTCGGACAACTTCCGATTCATCGCCGCGACTCTCTTTAATCTGGGAAGTGGGAGGGTGTGCTCTAGCATAATTTGCGTGTACCAATGTCCGGTATTTATCTATTAAAAAAAAACAAACAAACAGAACAGTCTACTGACAGAAAGGAGTGTTCTGACAACACTAGTCAGACTGAGTTTTAGTTTTTTATTAGTTATTTATGTTTTTAGCTCAACAATACAATAATTATTAGTCATTAGGCAATGAGTTTGTACCACCCCTCACCTTCGATACGAACTTCGTCTAAACTAGTGGATCTCAACCTTCCTAATGCTGCGACTCTTTAATACAGTTTCTCATGTTATTTTCGTTGCTACTTCTTAAATATGTGTTTTCCTATGGTCCTAGTATTCCCCTGAGTGTAAGGCAAGGGTTATTTGACCCCCAAAAGGAAAAGGGTGGCGATCCACAGATTGAGGCTGGTCTAGGCTCAAGCTAGGCTTGGGTTGTCAGTTGAAAAATGAAAACGATTTTATTTTGAAAGGAGGACTTATCAAAATAAAACTAAATTTTAAGATACAGCCTAAACATTTTTAATATTGTATTGAGTATAATTGCCTTCATGGACGCCACATTCATTAAGTCTATTCTGCTCCTTGCTTAGTGAAAGTTTGAAACTACATTTTTTAAAAAGAAATATTTTAAGGTTGATGGAGGAAATTTTAATTCACATTTTATATTAATTGAAAAGAACTGTAGTGGGGGACAAAATTAATTTTAAACCCCATTCCTCTTTTTAAAGACCCTTTACTTTACCATTATGTTCATCAATGAAATACCAGTACCATCAAACAAAGACCAGTCTGGCACCTTGGGATTCTGCCCCTACCCCTTTTTCCCCACTTAGCTATGCCTCCATACTCCATGGCAACCTTTATTTTAAGGTTTTAATTTTTATAATAAAAAAACAATAAAAGGAAATCTTTTCCTTAAATTGGTGCAATCTGAATATTAAATTAGTGTTTCACTTTTCACTCATCCTTATTGGTATCTGTTATAAACTGTCATATCTGATGCGTTTAGTTGGTATAACTATTATTGAATTATTGCAATGAATTTTATAGTTTACTGCTGGTTAGTTTCTGAAAATAGATTTTAATTTGAATGATAAAAAATACAACCTTTAAAAAAAAACCTAATAGATTGGTGTAGAGACATGCTCACACACAATCCAAAATTGTTATTTTAACTCTATTCCTCAGTTGAACAATGATTTCTGATGTGCACCTTGCACTCTTTGCAAATGGTATGGGTGTTTGTCTTTTCCTTCTGGTAGTGTTATATCATTACATAGCAGCCAATGCTGTGAAAAAAGTAGATAAAGACTTCTACTCAAACCATTTTCATAACTCATTTTGAGTAAGTACTATTTTATTTGTTAATGATAATTAATGGATTTTTAGAGATAAGGTTCATACTAACGATTTTTAAGTATGCTGATATCTATGAGGTTCTTAAGTTAAGTCAATGGATTGTGAGTGCTGGAAATCTATTACATTTATATTTGAGGTAAGAATGCCGGTATACATCATCCAAGATTCTCTCTTATTAGTAAAAGATAAAAACCCAAAATATAATTTTACAATTATTAAAAAATTGAATCTTTTACTAACCATTTAAGATAATTTTCATTATATTTTTCCTCAGGTCAAATTCATTGTGTGCAGATGAATAAAATCTTGTGTATTTCTTGTTAGCTAAAGTAAAATAAAAGTTATGTTCCTATCAGGACTTATTGCATGTACCGGTAATTTACTTCTTTTTAATTTCTAACTTTAATAATATTTCTACTACATTTAGCATCATATAACTGATTAAGAAATCATTTTGTTATTCATCTCACCCACTATTGCATTTTCATTTGGCAAAAGGCCCTTATATATAAAACAAACATTTTTTAAAGACCCCTTTGATATCAGTAATAACAGTAGTTGCTTTATCCATATATCACGAGCCGCAACTAATGCATTTGAGAAAAGGAGACTAGATAAATCAAAATTATTAAAATTTAACTTGTTGATTTTTAAAACTTAGCAGACCAAGTTTTCCAAATTGAAATGCATAGATTGGAAAATTAATAATGTAACCATAATTACAAATATAGATCATTTACTAGTATTAAATATTGGAGGAATGCAATAGTCTCATAAGATTGTTCCATTTTCACATACGGTACAATCATAAACATACAAAATGAACCTTCAGAATAATGTTGAAGGTATAAATATTAGGATACGACAGGTAATAATGTACTTGTACAGTAAATTCCTTGTAATTCAAGTAATTTAAAATGTAAAGGACTATATTTGACGTTAAAACTCAATGCACAATATATTAAAATAATTTGAAATTTTATTAATTGTTTTCAATTTATCTCTTCATAGTTTTGGGGTCTTTAAATTTAAATATACAGAACATTTCCCACAATAAAAGAATTTTCCACATTGCAGAGTACTGCACACAATTCATTTTAAGAAAAGCTTTATTTATTTACAAAATGTTTGGTTGCAAAATATTACGTCAGCATTTAACATATGAAACAATTGTTAATGATAAAAAAAAATGCACATCAAATGAATAATGAGATTATTATTTGCAAAATCTTTTACTGTTGATATAAATGTCAGTATACAATTAATTCAAACAAAGCATTAATTTATTTCAGCTAAAAATAAAAAGGGGATCAATTTAGAGTTAACTATTCAATGAAATTATGAATGTTAAATCCAATAACTTTCTAAAAAGTTAAAAAAAATTCAATAGAGATTCATATTGCTATAATTATAATTAATTTACATTGAACATAAAAAATTCATGCTTGAAAGAACACAATTTGTGATGTAACAATTTTTTTTTACATTACCATGATACCAGTACAATTGTTACTGAATATATACTATCTTACAACACAGTAAAACAAAACACATTTTTACACTTACACAAGAATTGATATTTAAAAGACATTTGATTTTACGAATAAAAAAACCCAACAAATCTAATTTTTCTGAGGCTGAGATTTACCATTATTATTGAAATTGAATTGTCATGAATTTTTATTTCAGATGTAAATGCATTCTGGTTTAAAAATTTAACCTCAGACTAAGTTGATATTAGCTGATTGACAATATTGAAGAAGAAAGCTTTGTGCCTGTGCCTCCATTCCAGAGCTGATCAATGGTTTAATCTGAAAAGAAAATTTATGGAATATTAAATACGGAGCTGAGGATTCAAATGAAAAATGAATTCCTCTTAGTTTTTTAATTAGACAATTAAAAAGATACATATAAAAAATGTCCCAAGATTTTAATAACGGCTTAAATTGATTAGCTTCCGCATTGAAAAAAAAAAAGGATTTAACATTTTCCCACTAACAGGTCTTTGTTGAAATTTAGTTGCCAATTTTTTAATTACGGTACCCGGTAATAACATATTTTTATAAGTAATATACCATTTTGTAGATAAATGAATTTTCTTTAAGAAAAATCTAAAAAAAATATTGTTAAATTATTATTGACAAGAGAAAAGCATTGAAAAATTATAAAAACTTACCTTCAAGTTTTAAATTTCAAAAACATTGATTGCTATTTACACTTCTAATAATTTATGTAATCACATCTAAATCCAAATTTGAAAAGGTTTCCAAATTTAGAGAAAGTCACAATTGAATAAACATGTCTCCAAAATATTTACAATATTTAAGCTAGTTGCCATGAAAAATACTTTGCTAACTAGCCTCAAAATACAATAAAAACAACAAAACATTTAATTTACATTTAGACTGTCCCATGTTGTTTTTAATTAACTTCCTGTCTGTAAATTAAAATCTTGAACCGAAACGAAATTAAGCATGTAAGTATATAGAAAAAAACCGTGGCCGGCTAATGGAAATGATAAAAGAAATGTTTGTCGCTAACAGTGGGTTATGGCTACTATATCTGTGGTAGTTAACCAGTTAAAAACTATGAATTACAGCAACAGAGCTTTACTGAGGCAAAGTTTAAAGAAAGTTTAACAGTGCATTAAGAAAAAGAAAATTTGGCGTATTGAAAAGTAAAATATCTACTTGCAAATAGATTAAATAAGTAAAAACTTAAAAAATTTTCAATTGTGTTTTGACTCAAGTTTACCCACATACATAATTTGGAAATGTATAAGATAAAAAATAAAAAAAACAATTGCTGAAACAGTGTTCAAGACAAGAATTTAGTTTGCCACAGTATAAAAACCTTAAAAGAACCAAGAACTGTTGTAACTTCAAAGTATTTGAAGGAGTCTTTTATAGTCACTTTTTATATCGGTGAATGGGAATGTATTATCCCAATAAATAGCTCAAAGTACATAAGTAAATATAACTATGCTTAATAGCAATAGATTTACAAACTTTACCATGCCAGGACAACGGGTAGCCATTTTTTCTAAATGTTTAGCTAGGTTTAGTTTAGGATCATCTGCAAAGCCAGCAAGTGGGTCATGGTCTTGTTTGCCAGCAAAAGCTAGCTGTGAGTAGGAAGTCTGATAACCTGTAAATAAATTTTTGATTTATTTTGACATAATTTCATTGATTGAAGCATAAAATATGAGAAAAAGAATCAGGTGAAAGTCACATAAATAAATTTTTGTTTTTTCTAATGGTAATGTTTTTAGGTCCGAACACATTCAAACCAACTCATAATTTAGTTTTATTTAGCTTATCAATATCGTCTATTAAATATTTTGCTAATAGATTACAATTTAATGAATATTTTAAAAACAGATGTAGTTTTTATCAATATTATCTAAAATAACTACCATATTTTCCAGCGTATAAGACGACTTTTCAACCCATTAAAATCTTTTCAAAAGTCGGGGGTCGTCTTATACGCTGGGGATTGTCTTATGAGCTGGTATACAGCCCAAACCCTAGATTTTAACAGGAAAAGTAGGGGGTCGTCTTATACACCAGAAAATACGGTACTCAGAAATGAACATTAGGAGTAGGGCTAAAACATAATTAAAATCCATAACTGTCTTGAGAATCCTTCCAATTTTTTTGGTATGCTAAAATGTTTAGCACATGTCTGAAACTTTTCAATTCGAAAAATAGCTCTGCTTTGTATCTCCTATTGGTCTAGGCTTCTTTCGTGTTTCATTTAATTCTAGTCAAGAGGATATTTTGCTGTCAGCATGGCAATCATTTCTCTACATCCCATTTTAAAGTTCAATAAATGTTGTCACTAATGGGTTTCTTTTGTTAGTCTCTGCAACTGCAATGAAACCAATATCTATTTCTATGTATTGTAATTAATTATTCAGATTTTCTGTTAATTCTTTACACTTTGGCCTCATTGAGGACTTTTACCTAAAATATCAAGCCTATGATGGTAGACTTAAAAATAACTCAACTGCTCTGTGAATCACTAATAATGAAGGCTAGAATTGCTTTTAAAAGGGTATTGTTTATTAACACTTTTACTTTTTATAACTCTGGAATCCAATCTTTTTAGCACAATGGAGCATTTTCAACCCAATAATAACAGAAGTTCAGCAAGTAGACACTGCCAGGCTTACTTCCTTACTAAGCATGCCAATTGTGTACTCAAAACCAGGAAAATTAAAAGCAGAATATCTTAAGTAATTCATTGCTTTCACAAATGCAGGGGGATTATGATGAGACTGCATCATGCATTGCAATGACATAAAAAAAAAAGAATTCATTTACAAAAATAAAAACAATTCAAATCATTTACCTGGGGTGTCTTCAATTTCAATGAAATGTTCATCATCAGGGACAGAATCATCTTCAGGCAGTTCAAACAATCCAATCAAAGCCTGAAGAAGTCTAGGCCTGTAATATAAGAAAAAAGAAAACAAAAGCCTTAAGAGTTTTTTTGCTCAATCAAATCACAAATGCATAAAGCTTATGAGCAGAATGGTTCACATAAGTAAAATAAAGCTTAGAAGGATACTAACATAAAAAAAAAAGGAAAGAGTTCAGTAATAATAAAGAGTCACCTCAGATACATTAAATGATAATCTAGCCCCACGTTCAATGTTACCATGATTTCTAATGATAACTTATTGAGCATCTGAGAGTGTTGGCACATTCGTCAAAAGTGTAATAAAAAAATTTGTTAAATAGATTTTATTTCCTCACCACAGGGGGCCATAGTCCCCAGAGAGCATTGAATCTGCTTCTGTCAAAATCTTTGTCACACCAACAGCGCAAATTTTTTTAGAAGTATTTCCTGATACTTTCTGCAAATCTGATAGAAAAAGACGCTCCACAACCATAGAAAACATCCTGAAACAAAACAGAAAATTTATATGTACCCTAGTTTTAAATAAAAAAACTTATATTAAAAACTTATGTTAGTGGGATTTTAAACTTTATGGTAAGTTATAAGCATAGTTTTATCTAAACAGCGTTGAGTGCATAAAAAATTCTATTGAACTAGAAATGAAGTGAAATATTGCTCAATACACAATAGTTAATGTAAATTGTCTTTTTTCCCCTTGAGAAGACATTTCCATAAAATATAACAGTATATACTTATTCATAAGCCAGTTTGTTCACAAGCCAATACTCTTATTTAAGGGATTAAATGGTAACCATACTGAATTTCTAAAAATAGGATCTACATTTACAATTACAGCAGTTGCAAATGAGGCCAAATTGTGAGATCTAATTTTTTGCACTGCTTTATTTTGACTTCGGTTAATTATTTTTTCCTCATTGTTTTGCATAATAATGTTTTTCAATGAACCTAGTATAATTTAAAAAAAACCCGCTCAAGAGCCAACCAGCCTACTTATACTCCTTAAATATTTACCAAAGACAGTTGACTTATGAAAATATACAGTACTAAAAAGCTTAGTTATATTTAAATGCACTTCTCTGAGAATGTAACATTTGCGGTTCATTAAAAAGAATTCACATTCTAACATTCCTGGTCCCTAACTCAGACATTAATGATCATAATAAACAGATCTTTCAAATAAATTGTACTGTGTACTGCTACTAATTAATAAACCATAAGAATATAGTATTCATCATCATTGAACATAGGGAAATGTATAAAGCCCTGTGAAACAATTAGGAATTAAATGTTTCTTCCTTTCTACAAAGTATATAATTTATCGGGTGCCATTTACATACCTAACTTTATCTACTATAATGTATTTTGTTAAGCAAATATAAAATATATAATAATGCTAATGCACATCACAAACTTACTTTGGTTGTATTCCATCTATAGTTTCAATGAGGGAAGATGCACTGTATTTTATAGCATACATGCAGAAAAAGACAAGAAGACCTGAAAATTTAGTTTGAAACAATGAACACTTGTGATCAACATTTTAAAAAAAAGTAATTCACTACAGTATTCTTTGAAATAAATGACTATTATTACTGCATTTACACAAAATGTACCCACTCTTGATAAATTTTGTTGTCTTAGAATTCGTCAAACGCTGAAACAGCAGCAGAAATATTTGCTTGATATATGGGGTAACAATTGGCCTGAAAAAAAAAAACAAAAAAAAAAACATAAGTTCTGAGCAGGATTTTCACCCCATAGCTATCATTTCAATTGAAAGTAGTGAAGAATTGAAAAAAAACTAAGCATAATATTTAAAATGTAAAAACATATAAATAATTGATAGAACAAATGTATTCTATTGGATAGAGCTATTAAGTATGGGCAGGCAGCTGATGAACTTACTTGGGCATAAATTCTACAATATAGTTCAGCAAATAAAAACCCTCATGGTCATGACTTTTTGATGCTATCAGCTTTTGAAAAACTCCCAGGAGACCATTCTGTATGTAAACACATTGACAAAAGCAGATCGATATATTATTAGAAAAAAAATATCTAAAAAGTTATCACAAGTTATCTACTCCTCTTTGCTTTGTTTTTGTCTGGTTTTAGCGCCCTCTCCTATTTTTTTTCTTTTTTAGGTAGGATATTTATATTTATATTATATATGTAAATTTAATTTATACTTATTTAAATGTGTTTTTTTGTTTGTACTGATAATGTGCCGAAACGTTTACTTGTGTATAATGTACAATTATTATTAAAGCGTAACTTATTTGGCATTTTGACACAATTTGTTCGTGTCTTATTAATCTAAGATGATGCAATTGTGTTTTTGCAAAATGGTAATTACTTAGGGATGTTTTTGGGCAAGTTTATTTCAACTTAATGTTTAAGTATAAATAACTATTTCAGTGTTCAGCATTTAAGAGGGCATGAATTTAATTACATAATGAAAAAGCATAACTTGTTGAACAAAATGTTAACTGACGTTGAAAAGGATTATGTCGGATTTAGGTGAATTCCATGGTAAGTGACATAACTTTCAGAAAAATATTTACATTTTGAATCCAGTATAAATGAAAAAATGCCTTAAATATAACTATAAATAGTTTTGTGCCTTAAGTTGGTAGACTGTAAAACAATAGCATTAACAAAAAATATACAAATCATAATAGTAAGAATAATTTTTTGAATTGTAACATGTGTCACATAAAAAAGACATAATTGAGTTAGCATAGTTTTTGTTGATTTCCTTTAAAATTTGTTTTAATTGAAATATATTTGTTAAAACCTACTATCAACAAAGTTTACTTTTTTTGAGAAAAAACTTTAAAAACTATTTAGAAAGCTTATTCTAAAAAAAATAGAGATAAAATAAAGTAACTGAATGTCTCAATGCAAGTAATAAAAATGGAGCGTCAATTATTTGGAATGACAGATACTTTTAAGATTTTACTGTAACAGTTAAATAAACTTAAATAAAATAAATTTTAATGCTTGTCAATCATTATGTGATGTAAACAAAAAATAATTCAACAGAATTTTGATGAAATGTGCAGACATGTTCTTAATTCAAGATCGCCACCAGGTGATGTAACACACAAAACATAGATAATAAAAATAAATGACTCAATACTAAGATGCATGAAACAAATTATACAGCAGAGGTGAAAATCAACATCCAGGGCCAAATCCCTTTAGTAAGTGCAAACAAATGTCAGAATAGGCATTCAGGAGCAGTGCCACACATCCCAGTGCAGGGCCGCACCATGGTGTGTCCATCTTCTGACTAATGATATATAAAGATGTGTCTAGGTGAATTACCAACAGAACACACAACACGTGCCATCTTATTAAAATTTTTCATGTCTTAAATACTTTCCCCAGACCACCCAGATCTAGGCGTTTCCCATTGCCAAAAATGTGTTTCTTCTACCCCACACAATCTTAGGAACACGTATCGAAAAACATTTTACAACATCCTCCATAATCAACAACACTCTACTTCTTCTTCTATATATTAAGGGCCCATTGATCATTCTGGCTCCTATGTATGTAGAGGGATTTGAAATGCTTCTGTGCTGAGGATACTTCACTGGTTGCAAGGGCTACTCGGCAAGAGAATCACGAAATAGGGTTTGGAAGGCCTTAGGCAGTGTCAAGTGTTGTCGCCTCAAATGTTCCCCTTGGAAGCACGTTCCAGTCCTTGATTGTCTTTGGCAGGAATGAGCAGCTCTTGTACTCTTGTGTTCTTGCAGTTCAGTTATGAGCCGGAACTGCCTGTCATGGCCTCGTCGCCGTCTCAGGGGGAGAGGGATGAGTTTCCGTTTTATGCTGGAGCAGTGGACCAGCCAATTATTTATCTTGTACATCATGGAGAGCCTGGTGACAAGCCCAGTGTTTCCAGCACGCTGCTACACTAGAGGTGCTTGTAGCGGTTCAGAATAAAGCAAGCTGCCCATCGTTGGACCGCCTTAAGAACACTAGGGTCTTGTTTGTCTGGTTGCACACATTGTTAATATGCTCGTCCCAGAGGATCTCTCTTTGAGTGGTAACACCGAGGTAACTTACGTAGGAAACTGGCTCAAGTATATGGCAGGCAGTTTGTAATGGAAGTGTAGATGAGTACCACTTCTAGAGACTGACATTGTCTTGTGACAAACAATGCATGACTACATTAAGGATAAAACCTAATTTATTCCTGGATGTTATGTCTGATTTTACATGGAATTCACCCATAACAAACATTATTAAAATTTAAAAAAAAAAAAAGATTAACCAAAACAAACCAATTTATCAGCTTCAATTTGACCTGATCCCTTGTGAATGTAAGCTTGAAGAAGCCGCACAAGAGGGGGAATATTTCCCGGTCGCTCCCACAGTACTGGAGCCAATAGGTGCGGGAAAAGAGCCATATATGTGTCTGGGATTTGTCCAGTATGTTGCTCAATCAACATTGACAAAATTTGAAACACATAAGGAATGAACTCTAGAAAAAATAGAAAAATAAACCATATTAATGTTTAAAACCATACAAATTATTTATAAAGTGACAAAAGATTAAATGAAAGAATACTAATATGAAAAACGGCTTTGCAAGCATGTTTGGGAGATTTCTTATTGTTTGCATGGATCCAAACCTTGCACATCTTGTTGTAATATTTCTGTAAATGGTTGGAACAATGATTCCTCAAATGCAGAAACAGCTTCTGGATGTTTCTTACAAGATGACCTTATAGCAACACAGAGACATTCAAAGAGATAGTGGTTGAAGTGAGGCTTGCTGGGATTCTAAGGAATTTTGAAAAAGTAAAAGAAATTTTAATATAAATTTAAAACAAATCTACCATTATTATTATTCAAAATTCATCCCCCCACCCCCGCCACAAGATGATTTTTAATGAGTTGAGTAAGTGATGGCTTGATGAAATCTATTATTTTTGTTGATTAAAAAGGTGTAAATACATGCAGTAACATATAAACTAAAAGGATGATGAACAGCTGTGGAGGGTGTGTAAATTCTTCACTATGCTCGCAGGGCACATGCCCAAATGGCCACTGAATCTAAATGAAGACGTATAAATTAATATATCTTATATACAATTTATTGTCATAGACATAAATAAATTGATCCAGTGAAACTATTTTCTACAATGACCATTGACAAACAAGTGGTTGCATTACCTTGCTGACCAGCAAAAGTTTGGCTTTAAGGCCCACTAAAAGTTCAGGTATCATGGGAATAATGTAGTCCTGTAGCAGAGACATGGTCCTCATTATGGCTGAAGAGGGCAAGAGAATTTGTATCCATTTGCAATGTTTGAAAAAGGAAGTATACATAATGCTCAAAGCACAAGTCTAAATATCTTTTTTGAAGTATTAATGAATGGTGAAACAGACAATGCCATCCTTTCTTGATATTGAAAGGTCATTGCTAGCCGATATAATGCTTGTGTAAGTCTCATAATTGCAATATAATTAATTAAATTAAAGGGATAGCAAAAAATAATTAACATGAATTCATGAATTCTTATTTTTTTTTTTTTTTTTTTTACACATTATTACTGCAAAACTCCATTTTTCCATGTTCTCTTTGGTTAATTTTGCCATGTTAATTTTTAATTAAAACAAATTCCGAAAGTGTGGATAATAATTTATTTTATTTTTTTTTTTTTTTTTTTTACACATTATTACTGCAAAACTCCATTTTTCCATGCTATCTTTGGATAATTTTGACATGTTAATTTTTAATTAAAACAAATTCCGAAAGTGTGGATAATAATGTATTTTATCCTATGCTTTTTGTTCATTACATCATTTAACAAAATACAATTACCGAACATGATAAAAAGTTTCAAGATTAAGATAACCAGCTGTATGCCAGGACATCAACAACATCTTTACCTTTCATAATGTACTCATTTTCTGCAGACCCAGGCATTTCCATGGCAGCAAAAAGACTAGTCATAAGCTCCCCTGCCATTGGATGAACCAACTCACAAGTGATTCTGATAAAAAGTGGATTTTAATTTTAAAAATGTACTTTTTGGAGGACCACTTTGTTGATCTTATTATTAATCCCTATAACTCAATCAAAACCAATTAAAATAATACTTACGCTGCTGTTCCATTATGCCGCACCATGAACAATCTTTCAAGACCAAGAGCTGCATAAGTGTGAACAACAACTGAATGAGACCTGAGAAAACGAATCAAATCAGGGACAGCATCCTGAATGACATTGGCAGGTAACTGTAAAATAGAATATATAAAAATGAATTTTTTGCGTGCATTTTTTAAATAAAAAAGAACAGAGCTTTGAAAATAAGCTTTAACACTAAAAATTATAATTATTAAACAGAAAAATAATGCTATTCATAATTACCTGATTTCGGAACACCATTAGATATTTAATAATATCAGCTTTCAGGATAGGCATCTCATCAACTGAAATAAAGATGGGTAAATAGTCACTAGGCAATTCTGATATTATTATTTATTCAATTTGTATTCATAATTTTAAAAGACTAATTTAAATGCAAAAGTATGAATATATTAACAAGAAAAGTAGGAACTGATCTCTCCCTATAGGACACAGCGACTTGGGTTGTTACTTCCCGTACCACCCAGAGTTATCATTCTTTAGGGGCAGTAAAAAGTATTATAAAGATCGCTCCGCACATGGCGAAAACACAGCTATCAAGCATTTGATACCTAGCGAACAAATAATAAAATTTCTTTACTTTTACTTTTAGTTTGACACTTCTGTTACTGTGTATAATTTTATGACAAGATTTTTATTAGTTTAAAACTGAAGTATTTTAATGTCAGCCGCAGTCGCTTCTCATCAAATTTGTTCTTAAAATGTGGAGGTTAATTATTTTAATGGGAAACAATAATTAATAAAATGTATTTAATTTCAGCAGGAGATTATCTATTACTGTGGAAAATTTAATTTGAATAGCTAGATTAGTTGAAAAACAAAGTTTTTGTATATACCAATATGTTGGCCGCAGTAGCTTTTTGTGAAATTTGGTTTCAAAATGTGGAGATTATTTATGTTAATGTGAAATAATAACTAATAAAATGTCTTTGATTTAAGCGTTACACGTTCAGTTATGGTGTACAATTTTATTACAATAGCTTTATTAGTTTTAAAATGGAGAATTTAAATATACCCATAAGTCGCCGCTGTAGCTTCAGTCAATTTTTTTAAAAAATGTGGAGATTAATTATTTTAATGTGAAATAATAATAATTGATAAATTTATTTAATACCAACTGGATACAATCAGTTACTGTGGAAAATTATATTTTCATAGCTCCATATTTTGAATAGTTATGCTATTTTATTTTAAAAAATATCAGTTTAGACAAATGTAAATACTATCCACACCCTATTTTTATCTGATCATATTAATGGAATAAAAAATTAATTCACAATTTATGTTTTATTTAGTTAAAATTATTTTGTTAGGGTCTCCACAAAATGTGATTGCTGCATCTTTGAAAACAAGAAAGTTACAAACTAAATTTTAAAGAACAATTACAGTTAGATTTTTTTGAAATTTTGACTTTGAAAGCCGGTAATGGTAGCAAATTTGAATGTAAAAGCATATTGATATTTTTGCAATGAAACTTAAATACTATAATCAACTTTATAAATGTAGGTTAAATTTCTTTATTGCTTTGAGTCTAGAAAAATGTAATTTGTTAAATGATTACATTTATTGTTAAATTTTCTGTTTTCAATTTCAAGTCGTCTGTATGCACTTCATCCAAAAAGTTTAATCAAAATAATTCTTTAAATTGGTCTTCAAACTTGAGTTGTAATCTTTTACGCAATATTAATGTCATTTCGACACAAAAATATAATCCCCTAGACAAAAAACATTTATTTAATACACACGGGGCTGGCCAGGCACATTCAGTTTACTACCAATAAAGAGAAAACTGAATTGATAGACACTACTTTTGGTTGCAAAAAAGCTGATCATGTCTATTGTAGCGTCAGTTTGTAATTACTAATTTACTGTTTTCTAGGCTAAAAAGATTAAGAAGGGCAAAAGCCTCAGCTTCTTCAGACAGTTGCAGTGTCCTATGTAGGTCTTACAAGTGCTGAACAATTGTTTTAAATCACCTCATTAAACACATTTTTTCACATCTTTCCTTATTTCATACTTGATCATTTTTGTGCATTTGCTTTTCATGACAGCACCAACCAGTCCTCATAAAAACAGTTCAATAAATAGCATCAAAATACCAACTATAAAAATTACCATTGCTAGATTTAAGATCTGACAGAATATGTGCTTGGTAGAACTCTGTTATGTTGACAAGCTCACTGGTCTGTGTGACACCTTGCTGTAAGCAAATACAAAACAATACATTAATTGTAGTTTATAGAAATATGTTACTTTCAACAGACATTTGTTTGGTTAATGTATGACAAATGCAAATGATTTTAACTACTTTTCTCTTCAACAAACTTTTTCTAAAGTCAATTAAAAGGTTTTTGTATTCATTTACCTTTTGTGTTTGGCCTTTAGCTGCAAGGGATGTCACAAGAAAAATTGCAGCATCTTTACTCTTCCAATTAGCATTGGGATTTTTCACATATTCCTGTTGACGAAAAAAAAATGTAAGTATAAAAAATGTAAATCCACACCAAACCCTTCCACATGTTAGGGAATGGACAGATAGTCTTTGCATCTTGTTAATTTTTCTCTTACACAAGTCAGCTGGTTGTGTCTGATATATTTTTACATGATAAATACATATAAGATGATTAGGGTGGTCATGGTCAAATTTTACTGACAAACTTTAAACATTAATATAAGAGCTATAAAATTACAACCTCTTGAGTGTACAAAATATCAAAAGAAAACAACCTTTGCCATATAATAAATGTGAAGCACATACCTCCAGCAGCGCCTGAACATATCGTGAGAAGTTCTGTATTACAGGGCCTTCAAAAGATTTACATAAAGCTTGTACAAGATCACAGGCTGCTCGTCTTCTCGTGTCCACATCTAATATCAAAGTCAGTTATTAAATATATTTATAGGAAGTTGGTGTATGAAACTATATAGAGAGTGCACCAATATAAACAAGATGGCATTTAATTAAAATAGTAAAACACTTTTTAAAAAAACAACAAAGAATTAAAAAGCAATGATTGTGAACAGTGATCATTTGAACTTATTTAATACCTGAACCCTCAATGTCCCTTCTCATGTATTCTTCAGGATTATCTTCAAAAAGTTCTTCATCTGCATCTAAGATAGACCATAAACATAATGTTAATTATTTATTTAAAAAAACAAAAAAAATATGGCACAATTTTTTAAAAAGGAACAACTGTGATGCATGACATTATGTATAAAACACTTAAAAACGAATATTTTAACATTAAATGTTTTAAAGCTTATAATTGATTCTAGGATGGTATTGCATTAACTATTTCATTAAAAGCCCTGTGACAATAATAATTTACCATTAGAAACTTTTTAACTAGTGCGATCAAATATCTGTTCAAAGGACTACTTACTTCTGAGTTGCATGTTGGGTACAACAACCTTCTCACATATGCTAGCCAAGGTATCAACACTGTCAAACAAACCCTTGTATGCTGGACGCTCAGCCACAGATGCCAAAAACTGGATAGCATTGCTGACAAGCTGAAATACATTAGAATGACAAATGCTACTGGAGTAGAAAAAAAAAGGTTTAAAGTAAATGTAGATCTTGGAAACAGCCCCATGCACTTTTCAGTTTCAAATCTCATACAATATTCTAAATGAAAATAACACATCTTCAACTCTATACTAAAAAACTCAGACCTGCTAACCTTCCAAGAAAAAAAATCTGTAGAGGGATGCGCGCATCGTGTTGGCTTAAGAACTACATACTAATGCATGCACAAGACTTTTTTTTTTAATAGTAAATAAAAAAAAATATGAAGTTACACCCATTGTCTTTAAAGAGTCCACAGAACACCACAGAACATGAGAAAACCATTAATGGAAATGTTTATATACAAAAATATAAAGAAAAGAATATCCATTTTATTTACATATATACACAGGTTGCTAAGAGTTCAGTTTTTCAGCATCTCCTTAGTGGCCTTTTTGCACTTGTCCAACAGCTCTTCGGACAACTGAAGGTGAGCATTGTAATTGATTTTAGTTACAAGCAAGTTAGAAAGAGAATCAGCTTTCATGCTTGCCCTTGTTTCCTTGTAATTTTTCTTCGCAATCTGCGAGTCTGGAAACATTTCTTTGACTCTGGCATTATAATGATCTGAGTTGGCTAGAAAAATATTTCCTTCAATTAGAAATGTGGTAAATAAAACTTCCAAACTGATAACTGAATCGTCCGATTCCTTAGCAAAGAAATTAGACATGGATGTCAGAGATTCACTGCTTTTATTTAAGTTTTCCTTTTAGCTGCAGTTGTATTTTGTTTTTTTGGGGTTAAAATATGTTTATCAATATCACTGTACCCACCAATAGATTTATCCATTTAATTAAGAAAAGCTTTACCAAAAAAAAGTCACATTACAGCTGAATTATTTTTTAGCCTATTAAAAGAATGAATCCCTATCGCATCAATTGCAGATTGAAGAATGATTTATAGATCGCGGTTCCCTTCTATAAAAACAAGACAGTGTCTACATGTGGGACAACCGGACAAATAGTGTGGGAGATATTCACCCGGAAGGCATTTTACGCTTTATTTAACATTGTCACTTTTTAACCATTATATATACGGTTTTAGTATTTCATTTGTAGAAATGAACATATTTCTTTTTCATGTAAATGTCCAGAATATCTTGAATTTGTTGAAATGAAGTACTGCAAACTCTTATCGACTATTAGCGGTCACGAGACAAGACTGACAACTTACTTGTCCCATCGCCGGACATTTTAACGCTTCGTAAAAAAAAGGAAGTGGCATCATTGAAATTGAACACTTCCTGTTTTTTTTTTTTGCCGCTTAAGATTTTTATGACGGGTAAAAATTAAGTGTTCGTAAAATATAAATTTTAAGGGGTTTGCCGGAAGCTTGGAATGAGGGGTAAAAATCCGTATAATTCCAACAAAATCAGAAGGGTTAGCAGGTCTGAGAACTTTTAGAAAATAATAAGAATCACTAAGTTACATTTGACCCCTCTTAAATAGCTAACTAAAATATTTTTGAATCAACCCTGGAACTGACATGATGATGTGACATAACATTCATCCTCCCTAACCCATTATTGTTAAATGTTTGCTTTAATGATACTCAAATATCAGAAGATATAGTTGATGTCACCAAAACTTTGAAATGGACAACACATTAACATTAATGGCCTCTAAAATCTTTAGATGGTACAAACATTTAAAAAAATGGTTAACAAAATTTAATTGAAAGTGCATTTGAATACTATTATTTTTCCAAATTATAATATAACATGTTCAAGTCTCTTTATACTCTAATAAATAAAAAACTCAAGATTTAAATTTCTTTAAAAAAAACAGAACAAATACCTTTAATGTTTATTAATAAAGATACTCACCAAATCATATTTTACGCCTTGGCCAGTGCTGATTAAAAGACCCCAAATAGCTGTCACAAAGCCAGGAAGATGGGGAGAAAATTCTTCATCATATTTCTGAGCATATAGTGCAACATTGTCACAAACTTGGGACTTAATCTGCTCAAGAAGCCCAGCTTCAGCTTCATCCTTGAAAGAAATTAAATGAATTCCTACTTGCAATCGAAATAGTTGCCGTAAACTCATAAAGTCTATATGACCAGAATAGCATATATATAAGAAAAATCATTGAGAACATTCATACATAGATTATTGTTTTCATTGCAAATATTTCGCAAGTTTTATTGTGAATAAAATACTACAGAATAGAATGAAAATTTTAATTGTTAGGAGAGCTGTGAAATTTGGCTGCAATCAAAGTTATGAGCAATATCTAATTATAACTACAGTTTTTTTAAAAAGAACATTAAAATTAATTTCTTACATTAGTTTGCAGCAGCTTATTATCTGCACTAAGCAAAGCTAGGAAATAATCCATCCAAACTTTCATGTTGTCTTCAAAATGTTCAGGGAGATCCTAGAGTGAACATACAAAAAAATAAAATAAAAACAACTTTGCATAAATTCAATTAGCAGGTGCAATGCAAAAGGGTTTTTGAAAATTTCAATAGCGAAGGCACCTTTGAAATAGCATTATTTAAAAAAAATTGTAAATAAAATTACTGAAACATTACATAAAACTTTTAAACATAAAATAGCAACATCTATTTACCTGAAAATTAAGACTGTAAAATATTTTGCAGATAAGCAGGATGCTGCCAAATATTACTTTCAGGGCTTTTGGGTCATTCCCATGTTTTGTGGCCAAGTCCATGGTTGCCTAAGTAATTTGATAATTAAATGAACATTTAAGGTAAGAATAACTGAACTCTTTCAAAAGAAAAGGTCAATATTTAAAATAAAAAAACAAGTATATTCAAAGCTGCTTTCCTTTAATTTGAACTCTTTGTTGTTATATGAATTGAATATCAGGATTAAAGGTTGTCATTCTGAAGAGGATTAAATGGGGCCTATTGTGTCAACAAATGAATTAAATATATGGAGTAAATGAGGATCTATTGTATCAACAGATGAACAAAAATATGGAGTAAATGAGGGTCAATTGTATCAACCGATGAAAAAATATATGGAATAAATGAGGGTCTATTGTGTTAACAAATATATCAAACTACTAAAAAAATCACACTCTTAAAGTGGTATTAAATACTTTAAAAAGTTAATAGAAAAAAAATCACACCTTAAAGAGCTCTGTCAATGCTGTTGCAAAATTGTCTAATACAAATTTTATTTCTTCCCACAACTCTTGAGACTTGAACTCGTGCCGATACCTAATTTAATAAGAAAAGAGAAATAGTTGACATGCTTATAATTAAAAAAGTATGTTTGCATGTGATAAGATATTATAGAAATGAATATTACAAAGTGCCAATACAATTTATAAGAGAATCATTATAAACCAAAGACAATTTTAAAGCAACAGCAGGAATTAAAATTACCTTTTAAAAATTGAGTGGGCTGTTCTGAGGACACCATTAATGATATTAAAATCTCCAGTCTCAAACTTGCTAATCATCTCCGATAGCAAACCAGGCCATTTCTTGGGGAAATCTTCTCTACCAATAATGCTGATAGCGTCACTGAGCTAAAATAAATAGATATAGAAGAGATTGTGATTTGGAAGAATTAATATACATTGACATATGTTTCATAACAAATTTAAGTGCTTTAAAGATACTCACCTGCTTTTGAACTTGCTCTGGACTTTTAAGCATTAACCCCACAATATACTGCTTAATTGACTCCCTGTCTTGAGGGTGAATTTTATCTGAAAACCCTTCATTCTGATGAAAAAAATAAAACCTTTTAGTGTTTTCATACAATATGAGGTATACCAAATTTCATTTCTTAAAAATAAGTATTGCACTTTAAAGAGAGAGAGGGGGTGGGGGGCGCGGAGGGGAGAGCCTTAAATTAAATTATATCTATAATAAGTAACCAGTTATGGTGTTCATTTCTTACTATTATGATCTTTTTTAGTTTTAATATATTTAAAATGTTTATATTACCACTCTCCAATTCCTCTTAATGTAGTTTTTAAATGTTACAGCCGCTGACACTCTAATATGTGCATCTGCCCCATCTTTGTCCATCAAGTGTAATAGTAGCAATGGATAGTTTTTATTAGTCTCAACAGACTCCAAGAACTTTTCAGCTGCGGAAAAATAAAATTAACTGTTTAAAATTCCAGTATTTTAAAAAATTTTGTCGCGATACATAGTGAAACTATATATTTAATAGTCAATGTGTTTCTAATTTTTCTCAATTTTTGAATGAGCCAGAAACATCATTAACAAAGGCCTCAAAGGCAAACACAGTAATTATGAGTGTTGTTACCATTTCTTCGAATATCTTGATCTGGTGACAAGGTTTGCTGGAGGTAACCAGACATGGCCTCAAGATTTGATGGAGTTATCTCCATGGCTACAAATAATTTAAAAAAAATCTTCATTAGGCTGGTAGAACAGAAATTATGTAGAACTTATAGAAGCTGGGTTAATAAAGTAGGAAATAATTATAATTGATAGCTTAGGCCTATCACTTTAAATACAGAATTAAAAATACTTAGGAACAATTAAATTTAAAAACTTGATACTTAAAAGTAAAACATTCATAGATCCTAATTATTATATGCTGAATTGCTTATCAATACTTTAATTTCTTCCAGTAGTGGCAGTTGGCCTATTAAAATTAGAAAATTCTGCTTGGCCTGACTAATAAACTTCAATTTTTAAACAGAAAGAAGACTTCATCATGCTAGTTTTATAATGCAAGTAGGATGTAGCACTCTCGTTAAATATACAAAATGTATTTTGTAAGCTTTTAAAAAAATCTAGGCTTATAGCCTGTGCCTACAGGTCCCATAGGCCTGTTTTAAGCAAAGCTAGCTCTTTAAAAATTCTTGGCCTAAGTCTAAATAATGCTATACTATATGTTCCTCAACATTAAAATTTTGCTTCATAATAATGCATCAAATTAAGCTTATTGACTATAAACATAAATAAAAAATACAAAAAGAATTAGTCTGAATATTTCTGACTACTATTGTTTTATTTACATTACATTACCGTCCTAATTATTGTTACTACCATTGTACAACAACTTGTCCAGCACTAAGCATAATGACAGCAGAATCATTGAGCATGGACAAAAGGCATAAATTGCATAACTTGCAATTAGGGGCTATCTAAAAATCATGCATCTCCAGCCCCAGGTGGGAAGGGAAAAGAGGGGGGGGGGGGCCTTGAATTTTGAATTTTTGACAATATAATGGTAATTTATAGTATTTTTTTTTTAAAAGTATAAATGATTAACTTGCAATTAGGGGCTATCTAAAAATCATGCATCTCCAGCCCCAGGTGGGAAGGGAAAAGAGGGGGGGGGGGGCCTTGAATTTTGAATTTTTGACAATATAATGGTAATTTATAGTATTTATTTTTTAAAAGTATAAATGATTAAATGTATGGTATAAATAGATTGTGATGATTTGGGTAAGTCTAAAACAATCTGCCAAAATAACATGATGTCATTAATGGATGGCCTCTTTACTTGCTGAACTAAAGACTAAGGCAGGGCAACTTAAACTTAAAATAAGAAAGTGTCTATTGCTAGTTTACTACCTACAGCTTCTAGTTTGGGCAGGGAGCTATTTGTAGTAAACTACCAATAGCTTCTAGAGAGCTATTTGTAGTCCAGCCAATCAAATCAAACCAAAATCTGAGCTTAAAATACCCGCTTCCCATGAGGCTGGTGAAGTATTTCCACGTTCATTTATTACTAGTTTGTACTAGTGACAACATCTCGGCACTAATTATAAAATCTACAGTACTGTTTTAAAGTTTTAACACTATCTGCTCTAGCTTTCCCCATGCTCAGATTTGGCTATACTGCTATATAATTTATAATATAGAATAGACCTAATATTAATATAGATCTTAGATAGATGTATGATACTGGGGGAAAGGGGATCATAGTCTGAAAAAATGTTACCCAGCTTCTTCTTTGCCAAGGCCAAAGTAAGATGTGCAGTAAAAATAAAATTCAGCTGTAAACATTTTGTGTGTGCTAATTATTATGATTAAAATTATAAATTAAAATAAAGCCCTAAATAATTACCATAAGAAGTGTTACAGCATACAAAGTGTGCATATTAAAATCAAAATCGTTTAACTTTAGTGAAATGAAACTGTATAAGTATAATAACGTGATTAGGCTTAACGATGATAAAATAAGCTTAGGCCAATCATTGTTTAGGAACATGGTCACTTGAACCAACCCAAACACCCCACCCCCCCCCCATTTTGATTTTCTGTTGTTGGGAGAAATTGTCTACTGAGTATAGTGTCAAGAGTGGTCGAGGCCCCCTGCGTGTCAAGAGTGGTCGAGGCCCCCTGCGTGTCAAGAGTGGTCGAGGCCCCCTGCGTGTCAAGAGTGGTCGAGGCCCCCCCTGCGTGTCAAGACAATCGTTTCAGTTTTTAAACTGATATAATAACAGGTCACGGATGAACTGATTGGACGGAGAGCCGATTCCCTGGGTGCTGAGGAGTTTCATCTCAAGTAAAAATCCTTTTTAATGAAGCATTTACGTTTGGTAGTTGTAACTTAATGTAACTGCAGGGCGCATATTAAAAAAAAATTACGAGTATATATGTTTTTTTTTTTTTTTAAATTAGTAAATATGTGAAACATATTACGGGAAAACCTGAAAAAAGGCGACGCGACAGACCAACGAGAGTGTCGTCAAGAAGCCCGTGTGACCTTGACACCGCACGGCATCTTGTTCTTCATTTGTTCAATCTTTCCTCCGCCCGCTCTCATTTTTACAACCAACCATCGTGTACTTCCTCTTCCTCTCTTCCTTCCTCTAATAGCTCCCTTACCTTGTAATGGGTCAGCTGCATTCTTCTGTCTGTTCTCTTAGATACAACAATCTACCGAAGTTTTACATTTTTGGGTTCTTTATATTTGTACTGTTCGCTAAAGAAGGCTTCTCGCCGACACTTTGGTTGGTTTGATGCGCTCTTTTTCGGGTTTTCCCCCTTACCTTGTTTCACACATTTCCCTTCCCCCTAACCTAAACGCAGTCCTCCCCCCCCCCCAAACCTCCTTATTATCAGTATAATAGTGGGTGCTGTACTGTATACGTACCGTCTGGATTGGCTTCGGTATTTTAAAATCTAATATTTGTCCCCACTCTGGAGCTAAAGAGTCTGGTCTTATGCTCGAGTTATGGAATGATAGACTTAATAGAAGTACATCTTGGCCGCCAAACCATCGCAGCCACAGAAAATTGTGCTGATGATGCTATCTAAATGGTATGCGAAGTCGGTTTCTCTTCTTCAAACGCTTAGGATGCAAATTGCTTAATAGGAAAACAAAACCAAAAAAAAAAAAGAGCGACCACTGCCAGAACTTCACTCTCAGGTTAGCAAAGTACACAGGCGCATGATAACATCCACAGGTGAATGGTGGATCTGCAAAAAGATGCAATGGTAACACTGAGAGCAGGGGGGAGTCCGGGGGGGGGTGAATCCTGTGTCAACGTGCCTTACTGCAAAGCCAACATTCAAGTTAATATTTATAAATACCATATCGATTTGTCTGTTTTGCTCTTAACTTACGCAGTCTGTTTCCATAGTAGATTTGTCAACAAGACCTTGACATTGAATTGGCCTAAAAAAAAAAGTTCAAGGCTCTGAGTACACTGACTATTCTTCGCAAATTAAGTTGAATAATGCATACAATGATGCGCCAAACTGCCCGAAACTCCTCCCTCTCTCTCCCTCTCTCTCCCTCAGTCTCTGCCACTCTCTCTCTCTCTCTCTCTCTCTCTCTCTCTCTCTCTGTTTTGCTCTCTATGTCTCTGTCTCTCTCTCTCTCTCTCTCTCTCTCT